TTGTGCTTTTTTTTGTTTTAAAGTTTTTTTTTTGCCATAGGGTGCATGCACTCGTCAGAGACCCAGTGAGAGGGGAAGTGAGAAATCACACACACACACCTGAGGGGTCACGGGGGATGGCCATGCCACAATCCCTTCTCCTCCATTTTTCTCCTGGGATTTTGGGCATGCACGCACATGTGTCTTGCATGATTTTCAAGCCACTGGGTTCAGGACTTGAACTGTGGCCTGCCATGTGGGAGTCCAGCATCTTAACTGTCACGCCAAATGTACTCTTGTGTCATATGGAAATATCCATTTTACCACGGTCTAACCAATACAGAATATTGAAAATGTAACTTTGTAGATCTCCCCAATGTATTGTCATTATCATCTCCCCTTTTAAGTAGTAATTTCAAGGTGCTTGATTGCTGTGTATTTATTTGAAGTTTTATTTTCCTTTTCTGTTATTTACTCACAGTCTTTGAAATGTTTTTATTTTTTATTTAATTTTATTTGTTATTATTATTTAAAAGAAATTTAACCAGAGAAACAGAGAGAGTGAGAAAGGGAAAGTGAGAAAGTAAGCCAGCAGGTCTGGGACTGGAACCACAGTCTGCCACATGGGAATCCAGCACCTTAACCACCATACCACCTTCTGTAACTCTCACATGTTTATTTTTCTATTCTTTAAAAAAAAGATTTACTGGGGCCAGCAGGTGGCTTGGTGGTGAAGGGTGCTGGACTCCCACATGTTCGATTGTGGTTTGAGTTCCGGACCTGGAGACTTGCTTTCTCTCTCTCTCTCTCACCCTATCACTCTCTGAGAAAACTGAAATAAATGAATGAATGAATGAATGAATAAAGTTAAATAAAATAACTAAAAAAGATTTACTTAAATTAAATGATTATGTAATTATTTTCTTAACTTGCTATAGTGTATATGCGCTCACCAGAGAAAGACGGAGAGAGAGAGAGTGAGAGAGAGAGAGAGAGAGAGAGAGAGAGAGAGAGAGAGGGGAGAGAGAGAGAGAAGCAAGCCTCCAGGTTCAGGACTTGAACTGCAGTTGGCCACGTGGGCATCCAGCACCTTAACCACCATGCCACCTGCTGGCCCCCATGCTTCTTTTTCTAAAAGAAAGATGGCTGCCCCCAGTTCTCTGTCTTTGCACATGCCCACCTTCCTCCCTGTTTCTATGGCCATGGTGAGACTCACACCAGAGGCCAGCCTGAAGCCTGCCCCATGGCTTTGGCATTTCTAGCCACAGAATTGTAAGCCAAAATGTTTTTTTAAAGTTTTTTTGCCTTAGGGCGTGTGCACTTGCCAGAGAGGAAGATAGAGACAAAGAGACAAAAAGTGAGAAATCATCCTCCAGGGGAATGATCATGCCTCAATCCCTTCTACATTCTTCTCCTGGGGTCTTGGGCATATGTGCACACACATCTGGAATGATTTTGAAGCCATTCTGGGTCTGGGAATTGAACCATGATTGGCTAAATGGGAGTCCAGTGACATAACCACTATACCACCTGCTGGTTCCATCTCTATTTTTTTTTTTTTTGGAGAGGTTTTTCGCTATAGGGTGCATGCGCTCGCCAGACAGACAGAGAGAGACATAGAGACAGAAAGCAAGAAATCACCCCCCAGGGGAGATGGTCACGCCGCAATCCCTTCTCCTCCATTCTCCTCTAGGGATCTTGGGCATGCACGCACACGCGCCCGGCGTGAATTTTAAGCCACCGGGTCCGGGACGCGAACCATGGTCGACCACGTGGGAGTCCAGCGACATAGCCATGACGCCAACTGCTGGTCCCTCTATTTTTTTTTTAAATGTCAATTTCTTTTATACATTCAATCACATTAGTTTGCAAAGTGAGCATTCCAACACGTGTCCAGCATGACAAAAGACACAGCAATTAGTGTGAAATGACAGCCCTCAGAATGGAAAAATATTTTGTAAACTATGAGTCAGACAAGGGACTGATAACCAGAATACACAAGGAACCCATCTTTATTCTTTACAAATCACCCAGTCTTGAGAATTTTGGTTAAAAACATAATGGACTGAAACAGTGACCTTACAGTTCCCATTGCATTTCCACCATGACACTGTAGCATGAAGGAAGCCATAGACAATATGTCAATGAATGGACTGGCGGTGTGCCAATAAAACTTTATTTACAAAAATAAGCCAGTAGGCTGTATTTAGCCTGCATGCTGTGGTTTTCCAGCCCTTGGCCTCAAGGCTGGATAAGGTTGAGGTTAGATTGATTTGTAAAAAACTCTTCATTGACCACAAAGGTGATATTGAGATGTCATGTCTTATGAAGAGATATTTGATGTCACATTTTCCCATAATTTAGTGATCGCTACATTCAGATGGTGACCATCACATTGTGAAGGTAGGAGTTAGCTGAGCATGCTGTATGGCCCACAATACCAAAATGGAGTGTCAAAACAATGTTTTGTTCCACAACGGTTCCATGAAGTCAGGTACTTGTAGCATCATTTTAATACTCTTGTCCCAGTGGATGATGGTTCAGTGTTTTCCTCATTTTTCAGGAGACAGGACCTAGTTGAACTGCTCATTAGAATTCTCCTGAGAAAGAAGGTGTAAAAGAATTTGTGTTAAAGAATTGCAAGATTGGGGCCCAGCAGGTGGTGAAGTGGTTAAGGCATTGGACTTCTACATGGCCGACTCTGGGTTGAGAAATCATGTGAGGTGTGTATGCACGTATGCCATAGATGGTGGACATTTGGTATGTATTCAGGGGAGTCCTGGAAGAGTTTTTTTTTTTTTTTTTAGAGTTTTTTTTTGCTATAGGCTGTGTGTGCTCGCCAGAAAGACAGAGAGAGAGAGACAGAAAGACAGAAAGCGAGAAATCACCCCCCAAGGGGGATGGCCATGTTGCAATTCCTTCTCCTCCATTCCCTCCTTGGGATCTTGGCCATGCACAAACATAACATCTGGAGTGATTTTCAAGTCAGTGGGTCCAGGACTTGAACTGTAGTTGACCATGTGGGAGTCCTGCTATGTAACCACTAAGCTATCTGCTGGTTCTATTTTTAATTTTTATTTATTTATTTATTTATTTATTTATTTATTTATTTATTTATTTATTTATTTATTTATTTATTCACAGGGTAGGCGTGCTGGCCAGAGAGAAACAGGAAAGCCCGAGAAAGAGAGGGAAAGTGAGAAATCACCCCTCAGGGAGGTTGGCCACGCTACAATCCCTTCTCCTTCATTCTCCCCTAAGGATTTTGAGGAAGCACACACATATGCCCAGTGTGTTTTTAAAGTCTCATGCACACATACCTGGCATGTTCTTCAAGCTGCTGGGATGTGAACCAGGGAGTTGGTCTTGTGGAATCCAGTGCCTTAATCACCATGCTACCTGTTGGCCCCAATATAATATATTTTTTCAATAATTATTAAATTAATGAATTAATTTTAATTTGACTGAGGTTCGAGTCCCAGATCTGGTAACTTAAAATTCACTCTGGGCATGTGTGCATGCGTGCCTAAGATCCTGAGAAGAGAATGGAGGAGAAGGGATTGCGGTGTGGTCATCCCCGCTGGGGGGTGATTTCTCCCTTTCTATTTCTCTGTCTCTCAGGTGAACACATGCACCCTGTAACAAAAATCTCTCTAAAAAAAGGAAAGATACACACTGTATATCCCCACTCAATAGGTACCAAATGTCTGTACTTTATGCCAGAAATGGAAAGATCTGAAGATATCATAGTAGAGAGGCTAAGTGTAGATACCAGAGACTGTAAGAGAGGGGAGTGGGTGGTAGAGGGTGGGCGGGAGCGGAAAAGGGAAGAAACATTTAACAAACAAAGGAATGTTAATTTCTCTGTGGAAAACAATGTTCCGTAATTTTTTGCCTTATACAAATAAAAACAAAGTAATAAACACATGCACCAGATCTTGCCTATAGTGAGAGAGGATAACCAATAAAAAAGAGAAGTGTTGGGCTGGATGGTGGAGCATCAGTGAGAAACTGCAACCCTCTGTGAGGCTCACCCACATGGAGCAGATCTGGGTTCATATCCAGAGACCTCCTCTATCTCTGTCTCCCTTGAGTGAGTGCATGAGCCCTATAGCAAACACACACACACACACACACACACACACACACACAGAGCAAAGAAAATAGAGCATACTAGTTTACATTTTCACCAACAGTATGGGGGGGGGTTCCCTTTTTAATACAGCCACTGTGGAAAACAATATGGAGTTTCCTCAGAAACCTACACATAGCTCAATCATGTGACCCAGTAATTCCACTCCTGGATATCTGCCCAAAGGTTAGGAATACCCTCAGTTGGAAAAAACACTTGCACATCTATGTTTATTGTAGCATTATTCACAATCGCTAAGACATAGGATCCACCCAAATGTTCGAGAATAGATGAATGGATTGAAAGAAAGTGGCACACATACATTATCAAATACCATTCAACCATAAAAAGATAATAAGACCCTGAAATTTGATACAAAGAGGATGAATATGGAAGCTGCAATGCTGAGCAAAGTAAACCAGACTATGAGAGAGAGGCATTGTATGTCCCCACTTAATGTATACGGAATGTCTGCGCTCTATGGCAGAAAATGAAAGATTGAAAGAGATAAAAGCAGGGAGAAGCAACTGTGGATACTAGAGATAGTGTAGGAGGGGGCTTGGAAATAGGGGTGGGTAGGAGGGAGGGAATCAGGGGAAATGCTGGGTTGTCAGAAAAGTTTAGATGTCTTTTTCTATGCCAAAATGCATCGTGACTTTTCCGACAACTCAATAAAAGGCAAAACATTTAACAGACACAGATGGAGGGCTATCTCTTGGTGCTAATGTATATGGTAATTGGACTACTCTACAATGTATTCACGCTGGGAAAAATTATGTTCTATTCTATGAAAATATACAGTGACTAAAAGTAAAAAAAGTGCAGGGTCAGCAGGTGGCATGGGTGGGTTGGGCTGGAAAGAAGTGGGGGAAATGTTGGTCAATAGATATAAAATTTCACTTAGCTAGGAGGAATAAATTCCAGAAGTTTATTGTGAAACATAGTGAGTATAGTCAATAATAATGCCTTGTATTCTTGAAAATAGATAAGAATAGATTTGCAATCTTCTTACTACAAAAAAATGGTAAAGCATGTGAGTTGGTGAATGTGTAAACAAAGTCAACCTAGGCATTCACACTATACATATCACAAAGCAACATGGTATGCAGGATACAAAAATATAGCTTTTATTCATCAGTTAAAATAAATTAATGAGTGGGCCCAGCAAGTGGTGTCATGGATAAGGCGCTGGACTCCCAAATGGCGGAACGTGGTTCGAATCTCAGACCTGGTGGCTTGAAACTCATGCTAATGTGTGTGTGTGTGCCCAAAATCTTGAGAGGAGAATAGAGAAGAAGAGATTATGGTGTGGCCATCCCCCCTGGGGAGTGATTTCTTGATTTCTCTCTCTCTCTCTCAGGCAGGCGTGTGCATCCTATAGTAAAAATCTCTAAAAGACATGAGTAAACAAATATTAAAAATATTAAAAGAAAGGAATATTGCATATCTTGGGACATCACTCAGGTTAGTGATAAAGTGAATGTTTCAAAGATCAAAAGTTGCAATTTCTATTGGGTTGTTGAAAAAGTCATGAAGTATTTTTCTAAGCAAAAATGCAACATGACTTTTCTGATGATCCAATATTATGTCTTCATTCATGTTTTGGTCTCTTCAGGAGGCAATGAAGCATTAAAGGCAGGTAAATTTTTGCAAACTTAATATGACAGTGATTCAAGTTCCAGACATGGTATTTTTCTGTTGTAGAGTAACATGAAGTTTGGCACTGACATCGATTTTGATAAGAAAAAAGCATTCTTCTCCAAAACTAGAGGATCCAAGAGGCAGCTACTTTCATCTGATGGGGGGACCAAACACTATCTTTACTCCGACATCTGTTTCTATGACTTAGTAACTATCTGATTTCAGATATTGAATTTTTTTTCATCAAATAACATTCATATGGTAGGTTCTATTTTCTTTTCTTTTTTGTTGCATACATTGTAGGCTAGTGACCCAATCATTGTAGGCTAGTGACATTCCAAATGTCTGTGGAGCTTCTGCTGGTTTGGCTTTTTTTCTGAGAGATTTTTGCCATTGGGCACATGTGCTGTCCGAAGAGAGAGAGAGAGAGAGAGAGAGAGAGAGAGAGATAGAGAGAGAGAGAGAGAGATCACCCCCAAGGGAGATGGCAGCACCACATTACCTTCTCCTCCCATCTCATCTCAGAACTTTGGACATGTTTCAAGCTGCCGGGTCCAGGACTTGAACTGCAATTGACTATGTGGTAGTCCTATGCCTCAACCACCATGCCACCACGCCAGTCCCCCACTGGTCTTTCAGCTCCTTTAGGCTTCTGATGGTGGGCTTTACCAACACAGCCGAAGTGGTGGTGGAGAACCAGGCAAAACCAGCTACCATTCTCATGCAGGAATTGCAGTGCTAGATCCCCACAGCCTGTCTCTTCATCTTGGTTTTGTCACAGAAAGAGCAAGTACACTTGATATGCAGGCTGATTTAAATTTTCATCACCATTTTCCAGAGGGAGGCACCATAATGGTTCCTGTATTTACCCACAATGTCAACATCCTTGGTGTGTTTAGCCATGCCATCACCAACTAGATCCAAGACCAAACAGCTGTGGGTTCTAGTTTCTTTTCTACACTGAACTCAGAGAACAAAATCAGAGGGTTAAAATTTTTTTTCACAAGAAATACTGTAGAAAAGATCTTTACAATATATGAAAAAAGAAATAAAATTCTTTTGGATTGTTGGAAAAGTCATAACATATTTTTCTATGCAAAAATATGTCATGGGGCCAGCAGTGGATAAGGTGCTGGACTCCCCCATGGTGTATCACATTTCAAGTTCTGGACCCAGTGGCTTGAAACTCATGCTGGGTACATATGCATGTGTGGATATATGCCCAAAATCCCTAGAGGAGGATGGAGAGAAGGGATTGTGGTGTGGCCATCCCCCCAAAGGGGCGATTTCTTATTTTCTCTCTCTCCATATCTCTTTGTGTCTATAGTAAGCTATTGTGCCCTATAGCAAAAGTCTCTCCAAAAAAAAATGCATTATGACTTTTACAACGACCCAATAAGGCAAAAATTGCAGATCATCTACTATGTCATAAAAATATGATAATTTGAGCCTCCCAAAGCTTTGAGCCCGGTTATCAAGTACAAGTCTGTAGCTCTGAGACAAGGGACTCAGTTATGTAGAAACTGTCTTTTATCCAAACAATTTTACCAGGGCCTGCTTTATGTCCTTGTTTCTCAGACTGTAGATGAAGGGGTTCAGCATGGGCGTGACCACAGTATACATCACTGAGACAATCGCGCTTGCCCTGGAGTTTTGGAAAGAGGCTGAACTAAGGCACACTCCAAGTCCCATACCATAGAACAATGAGACAACTGACAGGTGAGACCTGCATGTAGAAAATGCTTTATACCTGCTCCCAGCTGATGAAATTCTTAAAATACATGTTACAATTTTAGAGTAAGAGAACAGGATCCCAGTGAGTGGAATAATACCCACAAGTCCACTTGCCAAATATATTACTAGGTTGTTGAGGAAGGTATTTGAACATGCCAATTGAATCACCTGATTAAGTTCACAGTAAAAGTGAGGGATTTCCAACTCCGTACAAAAAGACAGTTGCAAAACCATTAAGCAGTGTAATAGAGCATCCAGAACACTCAACAACCAGGATGCCAGAAGCAAGATGCCACAGAATGTGGGATTCATGATGACCGTGTAGTGCAGGGGGTGACAGATGGCCACGAACCGGTCATAGGCCATCACTGTCAAGAGGAAGTTGTCTAATCCTCCAAAGAGCATGAAAAAATACATCTGGGTGAGACAGCCTGCATAGGTGATGACCTTGCTCTGTGTCTGGATGTTCACCAGCATCTTTGGGATGGTGGTGGAGGTGAAACAGATGTCAGCAAAGGACAGGTTGGAGAGGAAGAAGTACATGGGCATGTGGAGGTGAGAATCAGTGATAATGGCCAAGGTGACCAGAAGATTTCCAATGAAGGTGACCAGGTACAGAGATAGGAACACCCAAAACAGGAGAGGCTGCAGCTCTTCCTCTTCAGAGAGCCCCAGGAGAGTAAATTCTGAAATAGTGGTTTGGTTTCCTGGCTCCATGTCGTGAAGAAGTGGCTGAAATAGAATTGAGAGCATTTCAGTGTTAGCCATGAACCGTGGCTAAGCAGTCAGAATATCTAGCTGATGTGGTAAGGTCTAGGAAAGAGGCTCTCTCATAGCATATTTTTTTTTTTTGGACCGATTTTTGCTATAGGGCATGTGTGCTCACTGGAGAGACAGAAAGCAAGAAATCACCCCCTGGGGGAGATGGCCACACCATAATCCCTTCTCCTCCATTCTCCTCTCTGGATTTTGAGTATGCACGTATGTGCACTCAGCATGAGTTTTAAGTCACCAAGTCCAGGATGCCAAGTCCACTACACCACCTGCTGGCCCCAGTAGCTGTTCTTTATAAGTGTGTATTATATTACACATGATGTATATTCTGGAAGGTGAAGAGGCTTATAAGGACACTGATAATCTATTCCATGAAATCCTGCAAGAAAACTTTCCAAGCCTAGTGAGGCATTCAAAGATCCAGTCCCAAGAAATACAAAGGACCCCAAATAGAATCAACCCAAGATCTTCTCCAAGGCACATCATAGCCAGATTGACCAGAACCACAGACAAAGACAAGATACTAAATTTGGCAAGAGAGAAACGTCAAGTTACCTACAAAGGATATCCCATCAGGCTAACAGTGATCCTCTCATCGGAAACAATGTGAGCGAGGAAAGAATAGGAAAATATATTCAAAGTGTTAAGGGAATAGCAATTTCAACCAAGAATGTTGTACCCGATAAAGATTATTCTTCATATAGGGAGAAAAGACAACATTCTCAGATAAACAAAACCTGAAAGAATTTACCAGCAC